AGAAGGTCCGAGAGTCTGTATCTCGCCTTTAAGTATGTCTTCATGACCCTCATCTGACTATTCAGCTCGATGGGCTGGTGTGTCTCTTCTTCCATCTTAACGCACCAAATCTTCGCCAACGGCTGTGTTTCTTGTTTGAACGGCAGAAGATCAGTCCTGACTACCTCTTTCTGCGTCAACAGGCTTATCGAACGTTTCAATACCGCTATTGTCTCCAAGTCATCCGCTGCATTGTCAAAGACTATTTCGCTTGGTATAAGGTAGCGATCGCTGTCAGGATCCTGGTACACCTCTCTGTCCAGGTCCCTTGCCCGAGTTTCCACTAGTAGCGTGTGTATCGCTAGTTCTGACAGTTCTGATCCCGAGCTCGAGTTCCTGTCTGAATAGGTGTCCATTCCCGAGTTTCGGGAATCGTCATCCGTCAAGGAGAATGTGCTGGAGACTGCACGCTCCTCCAGATCATGTCTGTGACTTCTTCGCATCCATCTGAACTCCCCGGACAAAACCTTGTTCTCTAGGTCCTGTTTCTCATCAGGAATTTTCTCGTCTATCTCAGACTCCCCGGACAAATTTTCTTGTCCCGGGTGTTGATATTGTGATCGCTGGTTCTTCTCATCATTCGTCTCCCCGGACAAATAGTCTTGCAGCAGATTTTGTTCAACGTTTTCACCTTCCTTATCCTGGTCCACAAAGGTGAGGTTTTCTTTCGCTTGCTGCTCCCCTGTTCTTTCTGTCCGTAAGAAGTACTGGTTAAAATCTCTTGGGGTATTGAGGATACTAGTTGCTGAACTATTGTCCTACAATCCCTCTCGTTCTCTTCGTGCTGTCGTATGGACGGCATGATCTTCACCTTCTCACTGACTGTTAGCGATGCCACTGCTGCTGTCCACTCGGGGTCATCTCTGGTCACTTCTCTTTCTAACAATCCACCCAGCATCCACATCACTTGCGGTGTGACTTGCACCGTTTTATCCAATAATGAGAGGCTGTTTATTTTCATGCGGGAGAGTTCTTGCTAGACCAGGTTCGAGCGCAGCAACAGATCCAAGGGGACCGGGTCCCCCTTGGATAGGATCTTTATCTCGGCTGCTTTCTCTACAGGTAACTCAGGTTGCCCTGGAATTGGATGTCCAGACTTATCCAACCACCTCGTTAAGGGTAGCGCTTCATACGTTTCTTTGTCCAGAAACGAGAATCCCTCCTTTATTTCCGCCTGATTGGCCTGCTTCTGCTCCAATCTTTCATAGAACTCAGTTTTCTTGCTGAGGCTGTCAGCATTCTGGTGTTTATCACGCATCCTATGTTCGATTATCATATGGTAGCCATCCAATCTTACTATTCATCTACCAATATAACTCTGATTCATCGAGTAGGTCTTCAACCAGGATAACGCTCTGTTGTCCACGCGTAACTTGAAGGGAGCGCTCCCCAAGTATGCGCGGTACTTCTCCACGAAGGTGACTACTGCAAACATTTCTGCTTTTGGTGCGCCATATTTCATCTCTGTGTCACTCAAGACCTTGCTGCCGTATGCAATGGGACGGAGAACTGTTCTTCCGTTCCATTCTTGCTCTTGATGCAAGATTCCTGAGATGGCCACCACCGATGCGTCTGTGTCGAGAACATACATGCCCTTTTCTGTAGACATGCCCAGCACTGGCGCTTCGCACAGTTCCCGCTTTATGTTCTCGAAAGCAACCTGTGCCTCATCGTTCCATTCGAACTTTTTCCCCTTGTTGCGCATCAGCTTCTGCATCGGATACACCTTGTCCGCATATCCTTTTATGAATTCTCGGTAGTAATTGGCAAACCCTAGGAAGCTCAGGAGCTGTGTGTCCGTTCTGGGGGCTTTCTATGTCAACACTGCTTCCACTGCTTCCTTGTCCGGCCTGACACCATGCCTATCCACCATTCTTCCCAGGTATTTTATCGAATCCCTAAGGATTTCACATTTCGATGGTTTGCACTTCAATCCTGCTCTTTTCATGCATCCAAAGACCTCATCGAGCCTATCAATGTGGTCTTCCAGGGTCGGTGTCGCTATGACTACGTCATCCACGTAACACATCACGAGATTCCCGTACTTCTTGGTCACTCTCGTCAAAGCCTGAGCCATCAGTCTTTGAAAAGTGGCCGTTGCATTGCACAAGCCGAAGGGCATCCTCTTCCAGTGGTACAATCCCAATTCGCACGCGAATCCGGTTTTCTCTCTGTCCTTCTTCCGCAGAGGGACCTGCCAGAAGGCAGAACCTAAGTCCAATGTGGTGAAGAACTTGGCATCACCAAGCTTAGATAGGCTCTCGTCTATTCGCGGTATCGGGTACACATCTTTTATCGTTACCGCGTTCAAGTAACGAAAGTCGCAACAAAATCTAAGCTGCCCCCTTTCTTTTTCGCCATTACTACCCCGCAAGCCCACGGCGATTTCGAGGGTTCTATCATGTCGTATTCAAGCAACATTTCTATTTGCGCTCGGCACGCTTCCGATTTGTGTGGCGTCATTCGCCTTGCGCCTTCCCTATGGGGAACGGCGCCCTCTTCTAGTTCAATTTCGTGTTCGACGAAATTACAGCAACCGATATCCGCCTTATGTTTTGAAAATACATCTGCGTTCCGATTTAGGAGATCCCGCAATTTTTTGAAATCTCCCTCACCTATTTTCGCTTTTAAATGTTCTATCTCTGGCAGAACCGGTTTGTCAGATTCTAGTTCATATGACAAGGGGCGTTCCGGAAAATTCGAGCAGCTTGATAAGCCGTCGTCCGTTTCGGATCTCATTGACAACAATTTATAAACAGATTTTAATTCATTATTCCTCTTTAAAATTTTATCTTTATTGGCATGATAAGGACAGTCTTTCACACTATATTTCTTCAAGTTTTGTGTCTCCTCATAGTCGGTCCTCATCGGCAAAGCGTAGCCAAGCTTCTTTCCACGCTGGATTGAAACCGTGGTGTCCAGTGTGTTCAACAACACACTGATTCACAGTCCGTTTCGCGTTACCGAGAAGCTCCGGCCTAAAATCACCGAACTCTGACTATTTGGATTCGGTACTAAGCAAACCTGTTTACTATCACTTAACGAATTTAAATTTCTCATTCTAAAAATTGCTACCACAGCTTGTCCTGGTTGTAATTTTACTTTTCTATTCAAAAAAACTGGTACCTTATTTTCGTTTGTTATTATCCTATTAATTGGTCTCTTAACATACTTTCGGTCCGGGCTTCTAATCCGTATTAGACCGTTGTTCAAGTCAATCATCACGTCAAAATTCCTGACAAAATCTCTGCCCAAGATGAATTCGTCGGCGTCGTCCAGATTCTCTACCACCAGGAAGCTCATCCAAAGATCTCGTCCTCCCATGTGAAGGACCGTTATTGGTGTTTTTCCGGCTACGTAGATAGCTCCTCGATTTGCGGCGGCCAGTCGGAGATTCGTAGGAATCAGATCTTCCCGCGTGAAGCCCATTCTTTCCCAATTTTTTATCGGCATCACACTCACTACCGCTCCTGTGTCCAGAAGCCCTGTGACTCCGATTTTCGTTCCGTTGGTGTCGAGCAGATGTGCGATCACATCTGCTTCATACCCAATGTGTACAGCATCTTGTTCCATCATGGCGTCATGGACTATCCTGCGGACTTTGAGTTCCTCTTCACCCAAATAGATCTGCCCCATTTGGTCATCATCTGTTGTTATGTAAGTCCTGGTGTAGATACTGATTCCATCCACGTTCAGCATTATTTGATACGACCCATAGACCTCCAAGTAGCGTCCATGAAGTTTCTTCATGCGAGGGCCACCCGTCGTTAGTAGTGCTCGCACAGCTCTCGACTCAGTGCGTGGCTCCACCTGCCTCAGATAATCTGCATATGTGTCCAAATGCATTAAAGTGAACTCTGACGGTTCACTCAGATTTCTTATTACCTGGTGTCCAGCCACTGAGATTATCGACTGTATCTTGTTTCCTTGCGGCGCCATGCCGAACCTCTTACCGGAGATCACATTAAGTTTCATATCTAAACTGCTTGGTGTTTTCGTCTCCTCGAACTCCGTTGCTTCGAAGGTATTCAGTTGCTCCGTAAGCTTTTCATTTTCCAGTTCAAGTTTCACTTTTTGCTCGATCTCTTTCGTCACCAGTTCCTGCTGCACTCTATTTAGAGCATCCCTCGCGGCTGCCCTATAATCGATCTTGAAGTCATCAGCCGCAGTTGCTGGTTCCGGTTCACGTGTCTCCTCTGTTACCGCTTGCATTTTCTTTGCCGCCAGCTCTTGAGGTTTATCCTTTCTGCGTGCCTCCGCTTCACTCAAAAGTCGAGCCTTGCTGGCTTTCACTCCTGACAAAGCTTCCTCGTATCTTGGATGCTTGATGTCTGCCACTGCATCCCAAAATTGCGGACAATCTGATTTAAAATAACCTTCCAAGTTGCAAAAGAAACACCTCGGGCCAAATTTTGCAATTACTCCTCTCATGAAATCCTCAGGGTCCAATTCTGACGCATCTTCGTCCTCGAGGCTGAAGCCTATAGCTTTCATGCCTTGTTTGTAAGCTGGGCATGCTGACACATGATGTCCGTTGAACTGCAATTGGCAAAAGAGCGTCTCTTGTCCATATCATCCCTCGGTTTGTACCAATTGTTCCCTTGGTTTGCTGGTCCGTTGTTAAAATTGCCATAATTGTTGTTGTAGTATCCAGATCTCGAAGGAGGTTTCAACAAAAGATACTCTTTTGACTTGAGCCTCAACTCCTCCGGTGTTGGGGCATTGGTTGATAGTGGTGTGTAATGCGTTGCTAGCATCGTACGCAGTTCATCATTCTTCAAACCATCGATGAATTTTGAGGCTACGGCAAGGTTCATCCTTCGGTTTGACTCATCCGGTTGGCTGCGTCTTCTCAGCATTTCCAAATCATCGAGAAACTTGTCTATCGTTTCATCTTTTCGTTGCCTCCGTTTCTCCAAGCGCATCATTGCCTGGTGCCGCTGCACCCCTGATCCGAAACGATTTAATAAGATTTCGAAGATTTTCTCAGCAGTATCACGTTGATATTGCTTCTTGGCCAGGACACAGTTCAGAACTGTACCTTCCAAGTTGCTGGTGAGCGCACTGCATTCCTGTCTCTCCGACAAGTCCTCTTCCTCGAAATGCAGCTTCATTACCTCTATCCAGGTATCAATACAGCCATCAAATTCATCTTTATAGCATCTTGGTTTCTTAAAGACTCTTCTGGACTTCTCACTGCGTTCATTGGTTCTGGATAACCTTGTAAGGAATGTCTCCAAAGACCTGTTTAGGGGTTCAAATGTTGTGGCCATTGCCGTAGCATCCCTTGAGTGTCCCGCCTGAGTTTCCTCACACCTCGTCAAAGGCTCTGTATACGGTGCATCCCTGCAATCCGAATCGCCGTGAGTGTTTCCCTCTTGGCCCACATGACTCCTCCTCGGGCTTGCATGCCCCCTGTTGCCGGAATCATTTCTCCCAGTCGCATGTGTGCCTTGCGTTGGTCGTTCGTTAGAGGTCTGTCTGTTCCCCGTTGAACTTGTTCTACTGTTCGGGTCCCATGTTCCATTACCCCTTGTGGCATAGCCTGATGAACTGCCCCTGCCTCTAGTGGATCCATACGTCTTCCTCTTTTGATGTTCATTGAAGTTCACCTTCGGCTCCCTGCTGGGACCTCCCGAGTTCAGTTCTCCTTCTTTTGGTCCACTCTTGCTGCTTAGTAGCCCGTCCAACCTATCTTTGTGTCAAGAGTCCCAAAAGACTGCTCTTGCTGAATTCTTAACTTCTCCATGTCGTCTATTAAGCGTAACTCTCGCTGTTCCCCCTCTCTTGTCGTTCGCGACAAGTTCTTCGCCATATGCTCGTCCGTTCTTTCTTTCAAGCGTTTTTCGCTCCTGCCAACTTCTTGTCTATTGCGGTTAATTTCTTCCCGCAGACTTTCTCTTTCAATGTGAACTGCTCTTTCTAGTTCACTCATTCTTATGGACATCTGTTCATTTTGTTCTCCTAAACTGTCCACTATGTTGTTTAAGGCTTCCTCTAGTGCTGTCCCGTTGTCCACGAGTGGCGTCACTAGTGGTGGTGTAGCCCTGTCGGTCCCAGGTAGGTTCGTGCTGGTCGAGATCCGGGCCTTGACTCTCTGCCTCGACGTCTTTTCATCATCTACCTCATTATCCGCCAATGCGTTGCCTAGCTCTCTATTTCTACTCTCCCCAGCTTGCAGCTCTGAATTTGTCATAATCGCGAAGTCTCTTGACTGGCCCGGTGTGTTCGCCTCTTTGCTTATCGTTCTCACCACACCAAATTCGTCCATGGTTCCAGTCTCTCTTCCAACGTATGCCTCATTCTCCTGGGTCGAACTATTGAGGCCGAATTGAGACCCAAAGTCCACTGGCTCTTCTTCGTCCTCTTCCTCCTGGGATTCACCTTCGTTTCCTGCGCCTCCTCCCATGGTGAATGGAAAGATGTTTCCGAAGGTGTTCTTCATTCTTTCTGAGAACGATGATGACGTTGTTTGTTTCTCAGTTCCGCCTGCCATCATAGTGTTGTCTGTCGGAGATCTTCTAGTTGCCGCTATTTCAGTCGAGATGTCGGACAGTTCCGACATCTCCTCTCGATCCAATGTCCCAGTGGAAGTGGCAAAATCATGGCCTTGTTTTACCGGAGTAGATTCACTCGCCTTCTGCCTCTCCCTTCCAGTCCATGTACTTCCTGGTTGTCGTCCATGGCATGGTCCGTATTGACCTCCACTTCTAACAGTTCTTTTCGCTCTTCTGAGGTCTTCTGACTTCTCGTTTTAACCATTCTGCCTGAAACCGTCTCCCCTTTGTTGGTCCGGGCTCGTTTGATCCAATCCACAAAAGGATCGGTCATTGTTCTTCTTTGCTTTTTAGGTATGAATCTCCTAGAGCTGTTACCCCGTTTAGGTATCCTTGACTTGTCTAGACTCATTCTCAATTTGTCACTTCCTAATACCTATACACTCAATTCGATTGCTAGTGACCTTATAGTTTGAGAGCCAATAATAATGACACAACACAAAAAACTTCACAAGATTCTATAAAATAGTGACCACGAATCCCTGTTTGTTGTCAGAGTACAGTTTGTATATAATTTATTCACACTAACCGATTATCGGTCGTAAGATTTGAGTACTAGCACAATATGATGTTATCAGTCGATTTAAAAGATAGTGTACTCACTACCCAATCAAGCACAGTTTATGTAGATTTAAAATCAAAAACAAAAAAATATATATATAATGACAGAATATGAATACCTCTATTAAAAAACGTATGTGTAATGTACTCTTAGTCGGTCGCAGTACAATAGTCGAACTTGTCTTTTAAAGAAAAAGCTTTCCCTGCTCGGTACTGCACCAAACAGACAAAACTTTGAAGGCAGTAATTTTCTCAAGTGGGCGTCTATTGCACCCACCGAGTACTGTGTTACCTATCTGCCTTCGGACTGCCCGAGCTAGACTTACTAAAATCCTCAGGGCAGTCACTTTTCACAAAAACGTATTATGTTACAATCCACACCAATGAGTCTTGCTCTTTTTAATATAGACTTAGTGTCGCGAATATCCGAGTTCGGACCTGTTTTGTTTTGGTCTGGTTCTTATTGAAAGGCAAGTTACCAGTGCAGTCACTGATACCTAGCCTGTGTGCTAATAACCTAATACCTCTCACTTTAGTCTTTCTTCCGTCTACCTAAGTCCTTTAATAAAATAATACCCTCCGGTTTGGCACAAATAGGACCCTTCCGGACTAACAAAATCTAGACCCCTCCGGATTGGGACCCCTCTGAGTTAGTCAATACTAGACCCCTCCGGATTTGGACCCCTCCGAATTAGCAACTATAAGACCTCTCCGGATTCGGACCCCTCCTAACTTGAAAAAATTTTGACCCCCCCGGATTGGGAGCCCTCCGGTTTTGTAAAAGTAGCTTGTCGGAGATTTCCTTCTTTCAACCTATACCCCTCCGGATACCTTCTCCGATGCAATTTTGCTTTTTCAATTAACTAGGAAGGGTATGTATTACTTTCCTAGACCCTTCCGGATTGAAGTTAAGCCTCATATTTTACAGTTCACACTAACGGTGAAGGGTCTTGTCGCTTGCCTAACTTCGGCTCGATTAAGGTTTTGCTGTGCCTTTAGCCTTCACTTTTGGTCTAGGACAGCCTAAAGTTATTTTGGTCAACCGCTATTACCTTTTGGTAGGGGTATAAGGGCTTTTCTAAAAGAAATTTATAAAACGTGAAGGTGAATTTGCTAAAAACAATCTCAAAAAATTTTCGCGCTTTATTTTCCGAAAAACTTTTATCCCTATCATTAAGCTCAGCTAATTTCTGATCTATTGGTACCAAGATCAACTCGATATGCCCAGTAGTTCCAAAGTTATTAACCAAATAGTCTTTTTTCTAAACTCAAAAAATTTATCTCTTATAGGTTCCGCCTAACTTTTTCTGCAAATCTGGTCTTTTCGACCTAAAAATTATTGATCCGAGCTCAGAAGGCCTACACTCTTCTAGTTCAATGCAAAGGACCCGATCTAAAACGCTTTAGTTGATAAAATTTGCGAAAAACTATGCTACCTGTACCCCTCCGGATTGATGAATCCACCAAATCAAACACGTTAAATTCGATTTCTCTGCAACCCGGAAGGCTTTCGGGTAGCGGGTTTTAAAACCTGTAGATTCACTAGTGGACGTTGTCCGAACAACTGTTTTCACTGTTCTAACTCAAAAATTTCAAAAAATTTTCTGAATTTATAGTGTTTCGTTTTCTCAAAAATCACAAAATTTCGGTTTTCGGTACCAAAATAGTTCCAACCACTTCTGGAGTAAACTTACTTAACCGGTTCTATCTATTATGGTAGTGCAGTTACAATGTAACACACTAACTTAGCGCTTTTTTCCGTTTCAAAAAATATCGATATGTCAAAAATCGCGACTTGTGGGGGAATCAAAGTATCGCTATTTTGACCCTAAAAACCGGTCTGTTTTCGTTGTTTTTGACTGAAAAACGATATAAGACTATTAATATAGGCTGTATTGGTAATAATATTAGTAATACTATACCCCTCCGGGTTTGTTTAATATCCGAATTAAGGTGCTTAAATGATCAAGTAACCCTACAGTACAAGCCTTACAAACGGCTACAAAAATGATCATAACAATTCTGACTGATATAAATGCCTGTAACAACAATATATCTATCAACAACAAACGGGGGGGTTGAATCACATCTTGTCTGGGGGGATGCTTTCTACTGATTTTTTACTTTTTTTACTGTTCTTGGTTTTTTCGGATACTTTTTATGTTTGTTTTGTTTTTCTTGGGTACTATACTACTTTTTGTTTGGTTTTACTTATATCTTTAAGTGTTTTTGTCACAAACCTCTCAGGGAACGAGGGAATGGCCGATCCCCCCACACTTCCTGATTCGTGAATTTTCGGTCTTAACTAAGTTAAAAAGCTATTCACGGTAATCCGGAAGGCTTCCGCGTTCCGAACTACCCTTCCACCCCAGCGGTTTAGGCCTTTTAAGGGCGTTAATGTTAGCATCAGCTCGGCGCGGAGTGCTCGTTAACGGTTCTGCCGGTCATGATGTTAAAAAAGAATATCACCCAGGAGCGCCATAAAAACATGTATGTAACATTCGCCCGGAAGATACATATCGACGGAAAATAAAACTAAGTCCTAAGACGACTGGCTAACGTCTAAACAGAGCTTTATATGCTTTTCACCGTCTCTACCAAGCCAGTGCTTTCGGTGGTCTTTTCTAACATCGGGTCGACAAAAACGTTACTGCTTTCGGCTTCGGTCAAAACACTCAAATTAACTTAATTACATGCAAAAATAGTCAGCTCATGGCTGGGTCTCAGTATCCCCAGACCACGAGGTCACTCCTAAAAACAGGGCTACTACTTTTTATTATATTACTATTGTTTTTGTTCAGTAGATAAAAATCATCATCTCCATCGAAGATGGATCAACCCTTTCCCCCAACT